TGGTATGTTTGTTTCAGATTTAATACAACACCTTAAAGACAGGATGAAAATCACTTGGCATGTTTGTTTCAGATTTAACACAACATTTTACAGACGGGATGAAAATCACTTGACATGTTTGTTTCAGATTTAACACAACACCTTAAAGACAGGATGAAAATCACTTGGCATGTTTGTTTCAGACAAAAAAAAACTAGTGCATTTCCTCATCATTACTACAAATGTCAAGAATCAGTGTATAATGTTGATCAAATTGTAAAGCATGTGGTCTCTAGAATATATTTGTTTTATTAGATGTAACTAACATATGAACCATTTGGTCTTTCAAAATCGCCTTTCCATACCCACCCTTGAGAAAATTAAAAACTTAAACCCCCCCACTTATTTTTCACAAAATTATCAGTTTCTCTCTCCAACCCTTATACCATGTCAGCCTCCTCTACTGCCATAGGAGAAGTTAAGATCTCTGAAATTGTTTTCTTTTGAAAAAAGCAGAGTTAGAGGGGGATCTGATTGAAGTGCGTAGGACTGTCAAGAGAATTGATAGTGTTTATGCATTATCTTTTTTCATACTTAATGTTGAAATTGTAGAACTAGGGGACACATTTTCAGCTAAGACATGGGTGGTTGGCCTTTGGAAATGGGTTGCCTTCAGATGTTGTGGAAGCAGTAAATTTTGATGAGTTTAAGAGAAAGCTTGATAATTATATGAATATTAAGGTCTGGTTTTGAGGTATTTTTTAATAGTTCTAGTTTAGCTTAGAGGATGGGACAGACTAGATGTACCAATAGGTCCCTTGTTGTCCTAATCATTATGTTATGTTAAAGACAACCTATTTCATAAACCAATCAATTGTTTTTACTGGAACCTAGCCTGTCCTTTCCAAATCTTAAACTTGGGTCCTCTCAGCCTAATGCTTTCCAAAGTAACAAGCAGAAAGAAATCAGACACCTTTCTCCTATTACCCTCCTGGATAATCTGAAACTTCACTACATTTACCCCTTACCCTTCTTTTCTCAAGATATAACTTCTTCCATTCACAGAATCATCCTAAAAGCATTCCTCTGCACATTTCCCAGAAAGTCAATATCCTTTCTTCACAGTATTCCAAATGAAGCCTAACTAGTGAATTGCCTACACATGATTCACTCTTTTGAGTGGTAATCAATGTTTATAAATACAAATTCTATTAGCTTTATTAGCAACACAACACTAGAATGTCGGCTTGAGTGACTCATCCACGATGTTCTTGAATAGGTTCCCATCTATATGAAATGTGCAATCCAAATTATGATGACCCAAATGTGCTACCTTGCACTTATCATAAATAAAGCTAATTTGTCTAGTATACCAACTGATTCAAGCCATTCATACCAAAGAGTTTAATATCATCAGCAAACTTTACTAGTTTATTAATTATACTCCTATCATTAATGTAAATAAGAAAAATCAAATGCCCAAGCACCAAACCCTGAGGCATTCTATTAGTGAAATGGGCCCAGTTTTATTGAACTCCATTCATAACCAACTTTTTCTTTTTTTTCTCATCCAACCAATTTTCAGTTCAATTAACTGGGTTTTTCCCCCCAACTCCTACTGATGTGTCTTTCATTGATATTCTTTCATGTGCCACCTTATTAAAAGCTTTTTAAAAAACCACAGTTCACAAAGTCCACACCTCTTTCTATTGTCTAGGTAACAATTACCGTCGTCAAAAAAACTTAACAGATTGGTACGACAAGATTTCTCTTTGGTGAATCTATGTAAGGCTTTCTTTTATGATATAATATTTTATCAGAATTTCAAGAACTTTTCTAATCTTACAAGTATTAACTGGCCTATACTTTCAAGAGCAAAATTTATCGCCACCTTTGAAAATATGAATAGCAGGAACTGCATAAGCAATTCTCCAAAACTCGAGCACTTGTCCATGAACGAGAAATTGGCTCCAATCCTTAACGTCCTATAAAACCTTGGGAAAAACCTTAAGGACTCAAAATAATGCCAGCAAATTACCGGTTAGTGTTAAAGCTTTGCTAGTAACACTTAGAAGCACTAGAAAAAAAAATTGCTAGTAGAAATTTTGAAGACTCTTAATGTTGAATATCAATATAACCATGATACATGCATTTCAGTTATTTATATTGCAATATTCTGAATACGGTATACAACAAATGTAATAATAATGTAACTGAAAATATTGTTTTCACTTATTATCGCCATGTTGTTTTGGGATCCTCATTTAAGGTGCACACAGCAGTAACTTAGGATCATGAAAATGGGAGGCAGGTGAATGACATTTACGGATGGGTTTGGGATCACACTTTTTTTAACCTATTTAAAATGATAAGGAGAGCATCATAGAATATAAATTATGAAGCTCTAAAGTAGAATTATGTTTGCTGCTGAATCTTTTCCTTAATTCCTATTTTTGTTTTAGTAAACTCGTGTGTAGCTTTCAAATATTAAAATTGGAAAGCATGGATGGGAAAAGTTGGGAAGCACTATTGCAATAAAACATCATCCAATCCTGGTTGACCCTGTTACCTTTGTAGCCAATCAGAGTGAGAACTGAGACACAGGAAACCATATTTATTAAAGCACCCTTCAACCCTCTATTTTTAACTGAGTGAAAGATGAGTTAAGTTAGAGACGTATATATGCATTAAAATGTTATGTGTTGTAGTAATTACGTATTATCTTCATTAATAAAAAACATATCAAAATGCTGAATTTTGCATTATTGCATTACTGTCTTCTAATTGCTTGTGCCTCCCCAAGAGATCACTTGCACCCCATCCCCACCCACCCCAAGTTAGAATATTTAGAAACAAACCACACTTTTGGGGTTTTATAGTTTATTTTTGTTCCTGAAAATGTTTTCATGCTTGATTGCTGAATCTTTGGAAGTGGTAAAAAAAAAGAGCAAAATAGACCCGAAATCTAATTACAGAAATTTTGAGTTCTTGACTAGATAGGTTATCATTGCATTTGGTAAGATCTTAACTGGAGTACAGTGTCCAGTTTTGGTCCCCATATTATAAAACAGGTATTAATTTCCTTGACAAAAATTAAAAGACAGGCCATCAAAATGATTCCTGGTTTGAACTTGTTTTCTCTAGAGTGCCGATGATTTAGAGGTTACTTGATTTCGGTGTTTAAAATTATCAGAGACTCGGATAAATCTTTCAAGGAAGATTTATGGAGTGGTAATGGGGATGAAACCCTGAATATTAAAGAAATTAAATATAAGCTATGGAAGCCCTGGTTGAGTTTGGATATTTGACAAAATATTTATCTTTTTAAGAGTTATTAATTTTTGAACTGGTTTCCAAACGATGTGGGATATGCTGATAGTTTGAATTCCTTCAAGTTTTTTTCTTTGATCTTTTAATCTATGGATATGAGGAGTTACATTTAGGTTGGGCTAGTTGCTTTGTAAGATGAAACTGAGAAGACAAGTGAATTTAATGTCATCAATGTGTGGCATTATGTTATTAATGTCTCTAATATTCCATTTTATATTTCTAACCTTTCCATTTTGACACTTCCGTAGGCAACCCAAAGAAAGGCTGTAGAATGTAAACCCCAAAAAATTTTAAATAGCTGAAAAGTCCCTCCTAATTATTTTGTTCTCAACAGAGAGAAAAGTTTACAATTCTATACGTCTCATAATTTAACTAAAGCAGGAATAATTATTATAGCCTGTTTGCCCTCTTTGAAATACATCAGTATCCTTATTGTAGTAAGAAGATTAAAACTGCTCACTGTCACTATTGGTAAAGGTAACTGAACTTTCAGGTGTATTTATAGACAATTATTACATCAGTATTCTTATAGTAACAACCATGATCTCATTTACTCCTTTCGTTTCGATCAGGTAGCCTGTAACAATTTCCATTAAAAAAATACTACCCTTAAAACCCAGGATTGTAACCCATACAGTTGGATTAAATCTCTTGACTACCACTTTTTATATCTTAAATACTAACAGGCTGCAGTTCATTCCTTATGTAAAGAGCCACCCAACTCCTTCTGTTAAAGAGTCCATGATCATTAAATAACTTATAACCTAGACTTGCAAGTTAATTTCCATTAGTATTACCACTATTTTTCACTTGGTTACATTACCAAGTTTCAGTAACTCCCATTACATCATATATGTAGTCTTCCATTTAAACTAGAGCTTTGAGGTAATTACTTTGTTACCAATAATTCTTGATATCAGAAAAAGAAATGCAATAAATGCATCCAAATTTAATATTTATCTTACTATCTTTAAATTTCACACATTTTAACAGTCTTAGTTTTACTATTTAACATATGCTCATAACTTTCTATTTTAAACTCCTCATGGTCTTTGCTATCCTATCAATTTGTTTACTAAAGTTCCCAAGCCCTTCACCACTTTAAAAATTTAAATTATTTTTAATCAATTTGTTTACAGCTTTTCAAAACACCTTACTACCTAATCTAATTCCATTAAAAGTTGTACATTCAATTGCAACAAATATTACGAAAACAAGCTGTGAATGTGACTTGCCAAGGGTTTTAGAATGCATGTAGATTTTAACATTATTTCGAAGTACATGGCTATTTATGTTATTGTTTTTTTCGTTCAAGTTAGAGATTTAAGCAGGTTAAAGTAATTACTGTTTAATATCAACTATCATTACGACAGTGACACAGACAGTGTCAGGTACATGGCTATTTATGTTATTGTTTTTCGTTCGAGTTAGAGATTTAAGCAGGTTAGAGTAATTACTGTTTAATATCAACTATCATTACGACAGTGACACTTAAGTGTCATTACATTGCACTCATATTTATGCTTCACGGCTTACACTGTTACAACTTCCTCTTTTTACAGCTGCTTTCATATGGCAAGGATTGTCGAAGTACTCGCAAGCTGGCAGATATAGTTTAAGGAACGCTCTATTTCAGAGGTTATACCCCTTTCTAGCTTATGTTAATATTATTAAAATTAAAATAGGCCTACCTTGGGCGTCTCCCTTCTACATATGGGACATTCATTTTGCCGGCAAAGTACACGCATTCTCGTCGAACATTCGTGGCAAACAGGATGGTCGCAAATACCAACAGCAAATATGCTCAATTTGCGACAACACACTACACAATTATCATCACTTGATAGGTCATTTGAATTCATTTTTAGCTAATCTTTCCTTTTTTCTGTTGGGAGTTGATGTAAAATAATGTATTAATTACAAATATGTAATAAACCTTCAACTCCTACAAGCACGAAATGAAGCCTATTCCACAAAAGTAGTCTACACATCACGTCACTTAAAAAACGGAAATTGCAAGTTATGAAGAAATAAGGCTTTCGCGAGTTATTATTACTAATACCGTAGTTTAATTACTTCGTAAATATTTAACTTTTGGAAATTTTTAGATGTGGTTAAAAATAATTTCGGTCAAATTAGTTTTACACTATAACTGTTTAAAAATTATAACTTTTTCCTCAAATAACATAGACTCAAATACAGGAAATGACGTTAAAGTGATAGCATTTTATTTTCGGTTGTTATCTTTGGTAGACTCGAGTAACTTGATACTTACGAACTAAGGAGGGCTAACAAGAAAAACTCGTGAACTAGATTACATTTTCTACGGGCCAAATCAAACCTGCAATTTCAATACTCTCGTTCTAATCATATTTTGGTTATTAGATTTCAAAATGGAGGGATATTATGGGGGAGTTAAACCTAGAGAATCTTTTGATCCATTATCTTTCATTAAAAAGCCACAAGTTATATTAAGACTACTATGCTGGGTAAGAATAGTTGGTATTGAAATTTTTTAACTGAAATAACAGTAACACAATTGGAACTGAAAGTGCATGTCGAAACACGGTCAGTTTTTAAAACAACTTTAAAAGTAAACCTTAAGCCTAAGGTTATATTATTTATATTAGCCTTAACACTCGACTAATGGTTAAGGCTTAACGCCAACGGTAAGCATCGTTAGTCGAGTTGTAAGACTAATAATATTAACATAATAATTTATATAAACTAATAAAGACAACGTTAACAGTTTTCTTGTGACTTAAGTAACTTTTTAAGTTTTGTAATTTTGCCTCAATTTTTGTCCCTGGCTTAAACTTAAAATTAAGACTAGTAAGAGTTAAGTGTATGGTAAAAATATTAAATTGTTCCAGTAACTCTGTATCTCGGTGTGAATTTGATATGTAGTACAGCTTATCATTATTCATGGCTCCTTTGAATTTTACTCAGATAATCACTTGACAAAATAAATCACACTGTACAGTGTTCTTGCCCTTTTTGGTACGTTTTTCTTAGCCTAACATGTTACTGGGAATTGAGATTTGAAAATCCGCCCAGCCATGAAGATGAAGAAGCAACATTTGTCTTTTGAGTAGATTCAAATCAACTTAGGCATGTGTATTTTATTTATCAATTTTTTAGCTATATAAGCTTTTAATAATTTTTTTTGCAATTAGCACCATATTATTCAGCAAAATGTAAAAAGTATTGTAATTTAAACTGTTTCAGGGCTGTTACAGTGTTGCTCCATGTGAAAAAAAATATATATATAGTTTCCACTTTGGAAATCTGGAACCACTTTGGCCATACCAAAGAAAAGGATGCTAACATAATGGTGAATAAGGCACTCAAGCCCCTGAAACTATGCTGTATTGTTGTAAGGCTAATAGAACTTTAGGGTGTATCTATAGGCACATTGATTACAAGTCAAAAAAGTAATTGTTTATCAATTCAAATTAATAGTTTGGTTTCACTTTGAATACTGTGTAGGGTATTGGTCTCTTCATCTAAGAATGGATAGTGTGGTGGTATTGAAATTTTAAAGATTAACCAGGGATCAGTTGCATAAAGGCCTCTGACTGCTTGTGCTATATTGTGAATATGATGGAAATAGAGGACACAAATATAAGATTTTGAAAAGTCTGCCTAGGCTTCAGTTAAGATGGTTTTATTTTTTTAACAGATGACTAACTTATAGAATGAGTTACCATGAGAAGTAGTGGAGTCTAGCAATTACATAAGTTTAATATGAGTTTCAATTATTTTCTGAAACATAAGGAGTGGGAGGAAGTATATTAGAGATCATACTTTGATAACACAAGAGGGATTCCTCAGTGGCCACGGCACTTGGAATTCTTCCTCATGTCATCCTCTATTACTATGTCAAGTTTGGTGCTGATTGATAAAAAAATGTGATAATGCGTAAGGAACAGACACAAAAACATATTGATGTTTATTTATATAGATTAGACGTCAAACTCCCTCACATCATCCTGTATCACTCTGTCAAGTTGTGCTGATTTGGTAGTTTTTTTCCGAAACTAGATGGGGGTAAAAATTAGATTAAAAGCTAATCACAGTGTACTTTAGGATGTATGGTGTTTTTTTTATACTTAATCCAGAGAAATCTTTGATGCAGTATTCCTCTTATTTAGTTAATGTTTTTCTTTTGATATCTGTGAATGCACAAAATGTTTAAATTTTGCTTTCTGTTTTTTTTATTAGATTTTTGCTGTTGTTGTTTTTGGATGTATTTCTGACGAAGGTTGGCTGAATGACAAGTGTATTTTCAACGGCGACAACCATGCATGCAACTATGGAATAGGCATAGGTGTAATTGCATTTTTAGCTAGTATTGTTTTTTTAGTGGTTGAAGCAAGGTTTGAAATTATCTCAAGCATCAAACTTCGTAAGCAACTGGTCCTTTGCGATTTGGTATTTTCAGGTGAGTTTCACCTTAATCACTTTGGTATAATTTTGTAAGAATGTGTATGTCTAGAATTTTTATTACAAAATGTGATTTATTTGTACACTAGCTGCAGTACCCATCCCCTGGATGGAAGTTATGTAAATTCATGAGTAATGAAAAGTTATCTTAGGACATGAAAAGTTGCTTCCCTTATATGTAATTGTATAAATGCCGATAAAAACTCCAAGACACTAAGTGTGAAACCGTAAATTTGCATGTATCTGTGCATGGACCCAACAAACCTTCATGCCAGATTTGATGAAGGTCCATTAACAGAGGACAAAGTAGTGGTAAAAAGTGCAAAAATGTCCACAAAAACTACAAAATGCAAAACTGAAAATTTGTTGGTACCCCCGCGTGGTTCTAATGAACCTCCATACCAATTTTGGTGAAGATCCATCCACACCCTGCGAAGTAGTTACATGGACATACAAAAGACAGTACTATTCATATAGATTTGAAACTTCTCTGTAATAGATGGCCTGTGCAGTTTTCATAATTATGAAACAATATTTTTGTGAGATTTACTTATTTGCTTGGATCACTTTTAATTAAGAAGTCTATGTGATAATAATTGTGCAATATTTTCTTGCTTATACAGAGCTTCTTTAAATTTGAACTTACCAACACCATAATATTGTAAATTTAGGTTTTTCTGGATCATATTAGGAACATCATAAAATCGGTGCTACTATAGCGTGAGGTCTACCGCTGCATTATCCA